TATCAGGTTTCGTGCCCCTCCCACCCCTCCAGGGAGGCCCCGCCTGAGCGAGGAGGGTATTCGCATCACCTGTTATTTATCATGGTTTCGTGCCCCTCCCACCCCTCCAGGGAGGCCCCGCCTGAGCGAGGAGGGTATTCGCATCACCTGTTATTTATCAGGTTTCGTGCCCCTCCCACCCCTCCAGGGAGGCCCCGCCTGAGCGAGGAGGGTATTCGAACACATGTTATTTATCAGGTTTCGTGCCCCTCCCACCCCTCCAGGGAGGCCCCGCCTGAGCGAGGAGGGTATTCGCATCACCATACTATTTCTCAGGTTTCGTGCCCCTCCCACCCCTCCAGGGAGGCCCCGCCTGAGCGAGGAGGGTATTCGAATCACCTGTTATTTATCAGGTTTCGTGCCCCTCCCACCCCTCCAGGGAGGCCCCGCCTGAGCGAGGAGGGTATTCGCATCACCTGTTATTTATCAGGTTTCGTGCCCCTCCCACCCCTCCAGGGAGGTCCCGCCTGAGCGAGGAGGGTATTCGCATCACCTGTTATTTATCAGGTTTCGTGCCCTTCCCACCCCATCCAGGGAGGCCCCGCCTGAGCGAGGAGGGTATTCGCATCACCTGTTATTTCTCAGGTTTCGTGCCCCTCCCACCCCTCCAGGGAGGCCCCGCCTGAGCGAGGACGCTATTCGAACACAGTGTTATTTATCAGATTTCCTGCCCCTCCCACCCTCCAGGGAGGCCCCGTCTGAGCGAGGAGGGTATTCGCGAACAGTGCTATTTATCAGGTTCCGTGCCCGTCCCACCCCTCCAGGGAAGCCCCGCATGAGCGAGGAGGGTATTCGCAAACCATGTGATAGAAAAGGATGGAGAGGGCGAGGGCAGGTCGGCAATTTCTCTACAAAATGTTGCTTGATCCCGCTAGCCCAAAAACATCATTATGTGGGGAACTCCGTTAGCATAATTTTTCGTCGAAAATCCCCCTGTAGCCGGCAATACAGCGAACAAGCAAAGGCACCATCGATGACCCCAAAAGGCCCCAAATAGCTTCCGCAGAGCCCCCAGGAGGCGCTGAAGAAGGCATCAGAAAGATTGAACGGTTTCAACCTCCCCGCGTTCGGCGACGGCGACGCCCACGGGAGGGGAGGGGAGGGGCAGCCAAAACCGGGGAGGGGGTGGCGAGGAGGAAGGAGGGGGCGAGGAGGGGGAGGAGGGGGAGGAAGACAAGGAGGAGGGAGGAGAGGAGGAGGGAGGGAGGAGGAGGAGGAGGGAGGAGGAGGAGGGCGGAGGAAGAGGAGGAGGAGGGAGGAGGAGGAGGAGGGAGGAGGAGGAGAGGAGGAGAGGAGGAGGAGAGGAGAGGAGAGGAGGAGGAGGAGGAGGAGGAGGAGGCGGAGGAGAGGAGGGCGGAGGAGAGGAGGAGGAGGGAGGAGGAGGAAGGAGGAGTGAAGAGGATGAGGCCCGACATCAGAGCAGCGTGCCGTACGCGGGCCGGCGGCGCCACGTCGCACGCGCACTCTTGCCAACGCCAACCGCACACGGGGGGGGGGGGGAGGCAGAAAACGGGGGCAGGGAGCCCCGCCCGTGCCCGCTGGGCCATTGCACAGATGGAGAGCAGGGGAGGAGAGGAGGAGGAGGAGGAGGAGGAGCAGGAGGCGAAGGAGCAGGAGGAGGAGGAGGAGGAGGAGGAGCAGGAGGAGGAGGAGGAGGAGGAGGAGCAGGAGGATGAGGAGAAGGAGGAGGAGGAGGAGGAGCAGGAGAAGGAGGAGGAGGAGCAGGAGGAGCAGGAGGAGCAGGAGGAGGAGCAGGAGGAGCAGGAGGAGCAGGAGGAGAAACTGGAGTCTCGCGCGTGGCCGAGGCGCAGAGTCGCGAGCCGCGAGTCGCAGAGTCTCCCGGAGGCCACGGCCTCAACAAACTATTGCGCAGGCGGACTCACGTTCGCGCGGTCCTCTGGTGCCTGCCCCCATGCGCCACGGCCTTCTTCATGCTCGAAGTGACGTTTTTGACACAACCCATGCGCGACACTGCTCCAGTTCGAACTGCTTGACGCACTCTGGCTTTGGGGGGCGGAATGAACGGCGGGGCGAACGGGCGTGCACACTCGGGGCCCCCGGGGGCCCCTTTCAGGGCCCCCGGGGTGCACGAAAGGTGCGCCCCTCGTCTCCCCCTTCTCTGGAGGCCTCCCATATGGGGTCCGAGTAGATGGGGTCACGGGATCGCGCCGCATCGCCGATGCATCGGCGCCATCGGAGCGGAGAGCCTCAGGGTCCACATCGAGCCGCATCGGCTAGGCGGCGCGATTCTCCTGCCCCGTCTTCTCGGACCCCATCGGCAGAGGCGGGGTTGCAGGAAAATCGCTAGAAACGGCTCCTGGCATAAGACAAGACAATGTGAGCATCCAGCTTGGCGAGGCGCCGACTTGTGGCAAGCCACCTCTAGGGGGCCAGATGCGAAGCCTACCCCTACCCCCCACGATTTCTGAGGGGGAGGGTGGGGTTCACTTCGTTCGGGAGCTCCCGAGCAAAGTGAACCCCACCCTCCCCCTCAGAAATCGTGGGGGGTAGGGGCAGGCTTCGCACGTGGCCCCCTACCCTCCCAAACGTCACTCTGAACTAGTGAAGCGTGGTCTCGTCAAGGGGGCCGGGCAGTCCTCGCTGTCTCAGCCGTGGGGGGGGTCCCTCCATTCAAGGTGGGGTGCGGGAGCAGGACCGGCTGGGTCCCCGCTGGTCTCGCTCCCCTCACCCGAGCCTCGGGACCACCCCTCCCTTGACGACCTCCCCGAATCCGGGATGCCCACCTGAACCACTGATTTTCGTGGTCGCATACAGGCGACCATACCCTGATTCCAGTGAAGAACACGTTTTAGCTCACGTACGCTACACTACGTACAGTTGTCAACAACACAGGGCAACGCCCGAGGCCGCGGCGCGGCAGCGCCCCCGGGCGCCAGGGCGAGCGACCTCCGCCACTCGGGCGAGGGACCCTCCTGAGCTCGCGTCGCCACAACCCACTCGGCCGGGCCTGCTCGTCGGGTAGGGCCTCTCCTCCTCCTGCTCCTCCTCCTGCTCCTCCTCCTCCTCCTCCATTCCTTTTCCTTACAACCAACTCCTCCCTGTCGCACCCCGAGGCCGGTCGAAAGGGCGGGCTGGGCGTCTCGCCTGAGACGGCCTCACACTTTACGACCCCGAAGCCTAAATATTGACGACAGTTTCACACATGGTGGGCGGGTGGCTTTCAACATGTGGGATTCGCCTCAGCGCCGCGCATATTCATTTTCAGGCATTGCAAGAATTTCACGGATTGAGGGCGGGTGGCTTTCGACATGTGGCTCTCGCGACAGCGCCGCGCACACTCGTCTCAACAATTGCACGAGCTTCACGGCTTCAAGGCGGGCCGTTTTCAACATGTGGCTCTCGCCTCAGCGCCGCGCACACTCGTCTTCAAAAACTTCATGAACTTCACGGGTTGAGGGCGGTTCGTTTTCAAAATGTGGCTCTCGCCTTAGAGCCGCGCGCACTCGTTCTGAACATTTGCAAGAGTTTGACGGATTCCCATGGTCAACATACCAGAAGTGGTGCTTTGGAAAGATTCAGGATTGTGAGGGTGCGACAGTTACGTTGGCTCGCGTCTGAAAATCCCAAGAATACTGTTCTGGCACGATACGGGATCGTCAAGACGCAACAGTCAAGTTGATCCGTGGTGGTGGAATCCCGAGAATGGTGTCCTGACATGATTCAGGGTGTTCAAGCGGTTATCTCCCAACGAAGCAGCTCCCTCAGTGGACATGAACCCTTGTAGGGGCCTGTGAATAGGGAGCTTGGAAGGAAGATGTATTCCAACATCGTTGGTGAGTCTTTGGTTTTCACTTGTCCTCCTCCTCCTCCTCCTCCTCCTCCCCCTCCTCCTCCTGCTCCTCCTCCTCCTCCTTGTCCTCCTCGTCTCATTCCTCCTCGTCCTCCTCCTCCTCTTCTTCCTCCTCCTCCTCCTCCTCCTCCTCCTCCTCCCAAGACAGGTGGCGTCATCCGAAGCCCGCCCGCGGAGGCAAGTGGAGGCTCTCGACGCCAATGTTTCGCACGGCTCTCGCACAGCTTGTCGTTTTCGGGGCTCGAACTGGACAATGCTTTCCGTTTTTACACTGGTGACGTTTCCCCCGTTTTGTCTTCGTTCCGCCTCTGCCGCAGCACGACATCAGCACGAACACGGCCCACGACATCGCCAGCACGCTGCTTAGCTCGAACCCTGGTTCGGTGGCGGCATCCGAACCCTACCACCACCAGCCATCGGCGCTCCCGAATCGATGGGGGGTGGGCATGGCTCGGATCTCGTCAGGTGTTCGACACATCCCGAACCAACCCTACGCCCACCGCCCCTCGGGTTGCCTGAATCGTGGATCGGCGAGGGTAGGGTCCAGACTTCGCCGCCTCACAACTGGCACGGATCACGCCTCCGCGGAGCTGGGCGCCCCAGCGCCACGTCCGCAGATCCCTTCGTGCGCGCCTCCCGGCACAGGCCGAAGACGTCCCGAGACGGGCCCAAAAGGGGGTCTCCGAAGCGGCGCGCGCGGACATGGATCGCGGATCCGTGGATCTGGCGCGTGGGCTGAAGGGACTGTTTTCCACCACCACCACCATAAGTTGGAGGGGGAGGGGGTCCTCCTCCTCCTCCTCCTCCTCCTCCTCCTCCTCCTCCTCTTTGTCCTCCTCCTCCTCCTCCTCGTTTTCCACCTCCCCCCCTCCAACTTATGGTGGTGGTGGTGGTGGAAAACAGGCCCATCATGGGCACCGCATCCACGGACCGGGGAAAGTGCAACAACGCGGCGCCCGTGCCGCCCGCTCCGGCGGCGGAGCGCGCCCACCCGTTCACGGAGGCGGGGCCCGTCGCCGACCCGCGCGCAGCAGCCCGTGCTTGCGCACCCGTGGAAAAAAAGAGGGGCGGTGTGAGCAGGAGGAGGAGGACTGAGCAACCCTGGGGGGAGGGGCACCAGACGAGGAGGACGAGTGGACGAACGGCCAGC